GATTGCAACCTGAAATCCTGGTCCGCCTTTTCTCGCTATGATTTTTTTGTTCAGTCATGTTAGCATGTACAGAAATGTAAATCCACTGTTCATAGCAAATGACGTAATGTAAGACATGTTTACATAAATGGTTGTATATATTAATTATAAAAAAAAAAAGAGGTTTAATCTGTTAAAAACATCATATGTAATTCAGAGAAAATTACATATTGGCCCACTTTGCTTATGATTTTCCTCTCATAAGAAGTTTATATTTACTCGTGCCTTCAAAAGAAACCATGCAGTTATGGTAAATTATTTTAAAGGAAACATTGGTTCATCGAATTTTGGCTTATCCTCAGAAAAAGGGTACTTGTGTTATCATGAATTTTCCATGCAAAGTTGATATAGAAAAAAAAAGTTGTTACCCATTTTTTGCCTCTTGGCTTTCCTTGTTTTTCTTCTTAGGGATTATGCGGATTATAAGGGTCGGCGGAAAAGTGACCGAGGTAATTCGGCTCTGCTTAACCACGGGTTCGCGAAAAGTAAGTCGGAAGATACTGCTAACATGGCTTTGCCTGCGTTTTTTTAACCCTTCATCCATCATCCGATGAAGACTTTTAACGTTATTCTTGTTTTAATAATTTAAAGACGTTTTAATTTATTTAATATCAGTTTTGGCGGAGGTTTCACCTACTATACTCCTCGGCAAAAGAATGTGTCGGTCCTAGAAAGCATACCATTGTTTAGGTTTCTTCCAGCAAAATTGTTGGACTGAAAGGGTTCAATTGATATCTCACTCTTTACACAATATAACGTAGATTTTAAACACGAGCTCAAGTTTTATAAAAATTGCTTAGGTAATGGGTTGTTTGCAACAATTAAGTAATTTTTGAAACAAAATTCAAAACAATATTTTTTTCTCGAGGGATTTCGAAAACTCGCTTTTGTGGCACTCTACTCCATTTACAACCCACTATACCTAACCACTTTATTTTAATTAAAAAAAGAACCCTTTGCAGCATCCTAAGTATTGGTTGTTTTGTGTGACAGCTAGAGAGGTTATAAAGAATGTATAAATATAGCTTAATTTAATTTGAATATTTTCAAAAATTCGATGAGAACTGAGGAAACTAGAAAAGTTTAGCAGGGATGTACCGTTGAAGATGCATAGAAATGTTTAACTTTACTACAAACTTTATGTAAGGTATTGATTGAAATGAAAAGTTAGTATCACGAGCGGGATTCGAACCCACGACCTTCGGCTAAATACGCCGCTGCTCTAGCCCGATGAACTATGCTAACTTCAGGAAAAGGTCACAAGGATTGAAGTCATGAGTGCTGAAGTGGCTAGGGCAGTGCGATTGAGCCGAAGGACGTGGATGCGAATCCCGCTCGTGACCCTAACATTTTCATCTCAACCAACACCTTACATAAAGATTAATTAATTGAAAGAAGTTATTTTGTCAATCGGATCACGAAATATAATGGAGTTATTAAAAGCACCCATTACATCCTTTATAACCTAAATTTAGGTACTGGCTGACAGTGAAGGTAATAGTGAGAAAACATCTAAGGGAAAAGAGATTGGAGTGAAAAGAGAGGTTGAAACACGGAGAGAGAGAGAGAGAGAGAGAGAGAGAGAGAGAGAGAGTGATGAGGGAGGATGAGGAAAAGTAAATGAGGTAATTATGAATGTGATGTATATATATATATATATAT